AGTGATCTTAATTAATAAAGAATTATTCGTATCATATAATCTGGCAAGTTAAGTCATTTATAATGCATCATGGCTTCTAAAAAAACAGAAAGGTGATTTCAATTGAAACAAAGCAAGAAATCATCAGGAGTGAAAGTTGACAAAAACTTTCTTGTTGAATGGGGAGAGGTTCAGGAGTTTACCAACACTCATTATCAAAACAGAGCTGAGGCCAACAGGATCAATGATCTCTACGATGACACCTTGTCCGTCATTTCCGACAGGTGTTAAATAAAGAAGAGAAACAGACCACCTTGGTCATGTTTTTCAAGAAGCCAGCGGGCAAAAAACAAAGGATGGAACAAGAGAAGTTGACCCTGCAAGTTCCGGTAGCCTCTCCTGAATCTGACTCCGATTAAATAACAATAAAAAAAGACCCGCTGCAATGTGTAAAAAGTCTGTATCTGTATGAATGTGCAAAGAAAGTGTTCTTCCACCTCCTCCTCACAACATCTGACTACTTGGCATAATTGGTGTCTGCTCCATTTTCATTTTTTATGGTACAGTACGGTTATTTTATGCTGCGGAACGAATTATATGTTTTAACACGTATTTCTATTGGAAAATGCGTTTCGTATAACGGACGTTTCACTTAACGGACGTGCACCTGGAACGGATTAAGTACGTTGTACGAGGCACCACTGTATATATATTATTGTTATATAATATCAGTTCAAATTTTAAAATGAAATGGTTACTCACATAAAACATGTATATTTATAAATTTAGATGGCAAATCTATAAATTATTTATTTAGGATTATAAGCATATAATCTGAATTTTGATCATTTATTTATTCTGTTTTTTGCAGTTAATTTTGAAAAATAAATCTTTATCAAATCTTAAGTTAGTGAGTTTTGTTTATAGGATGTTACAGCATTACTGGACACATGACAAATGCAACATTTATCAAACTGTGGTTTGTGGACTTTCCAGAGTATGAAAGGTTCTTGGGAAATACATCGGAGATGTTATGCAGCTGATATTTCTAGGTAGTCAAGTGACCGAGTGACACAGAAGATGGGTCACATGACACATTTTGTATATGTCTGCTAATTTCCCTATAATTGTGTAAATATTTCTTAATTGTTAGATAAATAATAATTGATATACTGTACAATTATATTAAATACTCACTCAGTACTTCAAAACTTTAATAAATGATAAAATAAATGTAATTACTTTTATTAATAAGAACTAAACAGTTTTAAAAATTTGGTTAATTGTTTAAACCAAGGAAATAAGGCTTGCGAAGGAAATAAGGCATCTGCGGAGGATGGATAGGGTGCTTATTGTACCTGTCGTTCTCTCTGGTATAGGTGTCATACTACACAAAAACCTGGGAACATTACAATTGACTAGAAACACATACATCACACTACAGTAGGCCAATATGACATATATTGGCCTACTGTACAATATAACAATATGACATATATTGAATACATGTCATATTGTTAGGAAATTCCTGAATACAGACGCACACTTTTTAAATTTTATTTTGATTACTATGCCTTGACTGGTCTGGCATAGTACACAGCTACCAGTGTCAACCGAGTAAAATTCACAAAACCCAAAATAATAATAATAGTAAGCGCAGAGCAGCCCAAATGGTTAGGAGTTGAAAGTTGGTACACAGGGTACGTCATGAGAACGTACACTAAGAAGGGATTTTTGGAAATTCCCCTCAAAGAGAGAGGGTTAATTAAACAACAGTCGCGACCGCCGACATGACGGTAAACGTAGGTGAAATTTTAACGTCTAACAAGTGATAAATGAATATAAATAACATTTAATGAATGAATACAAAAAATGAAATGTAAGAATGACACCACGATTAAACCAAATTTATTTGGTTAAAATCATTAAATTTTTCATATTTTAAGATAATTTCTGTTATTAAAAATATATACAATTCCTAAGCCTAACAGGCTTATATTATAAATAGCAAATAAAACTCACAGACACGTCAATCGACTGTTTAACTTATCCCAAATCGATTAAATTAGCTGTCACATAGAATAAAGTACTTAAATCGAACGCATTAAACTTTAATTTACAAATATTAAATATCGTACGTTCGATTTTGGCGGCTGTCTGTTGTTTTCTTTTAATTCGGCTATCGAACGCTAGGGGATTCAAATCAATTTTTCTAATATAAAAACTGTGAAAAGTTTTTTCTTATCGTTTAAATTTCGTTTATAATTATTATATTTATTTATAAACATTATAAATAAGATTTTTTGAATAAACGTCTAAATAAACTTATTAAAATATTACGCAATATTTTCGTATGTGAATGTGAAATAGCGCGTGGTTTAAAATGATTTTTCGATGCGATTAGATTGGTATAAATTGTATAATTTCAAATGGATAATTCAAAAAGTTCACATTTAGCAGGGAGAAAAGTAAGATGCTTAAATAATATTTCAAATTTTAAATGGACAAAAACATTATTTTAGAATAAATAATGATTAAACAATTATTCAAGTTTAATTGTAACTTGAACTGAACATTAATCATTTATTTATTTACATGTGTATATCTGTACTAAGTAGCTTCTACCTATTTTACATGTTATGGGTTATGTAGAGGTATATCAAATTGTTCATGTGCATCATCTCCAGAAATTCCTATTATATTTTCTATATAGTATGCCTGTATCGTTTAATCTTTCTTTTCCCCAGCTACAACTGAAATTTGTTGTGTTTTGATACTACTAAAATTTAATTTTTTTATTGAAACCATTAATTTCACATAGAGAAATGGTACAGGTTTTTATTAAATTATATAAATTACAAGGGTGGTTTTTTTTTCAACCTCCTATGGTCCATAAAACAAAGACAAGTGTAAATAACAAAATGAATTTATTACCATAAGTTAGGTACAAACATGGTTACTTTTTGACATTATCACTGTGATGATTGAGGCATTTATCTATCTGTGGACGAGCTTTGAAATCTCTTCGCTGAATGTTGCCACCAGTGACTTGAGATGGTCCTTAACACTGTTTCGAAGGTCGTCATTAGTCTCAAACCTCTGCCCTCCTAGCCGTGTTTTCAGTTCAGGAAATAGGTAGAAGTCTCTCGGCACTAAATCGGGCCGTACGCTGGGTGTTTAAAAAGTTCCAAGTTAGGTGGAAGTCTGAAAGGTGAAGACTGTCACCTCTTTCCTGAAATGAAAACATGGCTAGGAGGGCAGAGGTTCGAGACTAATGACGACCTTCAATGTTAGGACCCATCTCAAGTCACTGGCGGCAACATTCTATGAAGAAGAGATTTCAAAGCTTGTCCACAGATAGATAAATGCCCCAATCATCACGGTGATTATGTCAAAAAGTAACCATGTTTGTACCTAACTTATGGTAATAAATTAATTTTGTTATTTACACTTGTCTTTGTTTTATGGACCATAGTCTGTTTTTTTTTTTCAACCTCCTATGTACTAAATGACAGCCATAACAATAGGCATAATTATCTTTGAAAGTAAAATAATTTCATTTTTGACATGCATTTTTTTAGTTTTAAATTATTTTATACAAACATTTGGACTCGACCAATATACTTATTTGCATTGTTAAATGGATTTGTAAAGTTAAATTTATTTATCTACATTTTTTAGTTGTCAATTATGAAGATTGTTTCTCTGTTGTTTCTTCCAAGATTGTTTTTCCTAAAATTTCCAAGCTATTCTTGGATCCAAGGGAAGACTTTTCTATATGAAGTATCATCCTTGGACTTAGTTTTTTCCCTTACGTTCCTTAAGGTTTAGTCAGACACACTGTGAACATTCCATTTCTTTAAAGGTTACTTTCAACTGTTTGGTAGGAGGAACCTCATAATATATGTATTATGTATGGTATATATAATAACATAAACAGTTTAATTATTCTATGATAATGTTATGCGTGTAACGGCAATCTATAAACTAATGCTGGCTTCGTATTTACAATAAACTTTGTATAACGTAAACATTTTTAGTTATCGCCTGTGAAGGGAGGAATATTAATTTTAAATACTATTTAAAATATCATAACAGTTTATTTTGATTTTAAATTTTCAAGTTTTACAAACCATCCACTCATGGGCGTAGCCAGAGTTTTGTTATGGAGGGCCTAGTAGAGGCCAACCTGACACAAAATTGAATTACTTCAAATTATTGTTCATTAAAATGAAAATTCCATGATAATCGATGATAACTTAACGCACATGAAATATGAAACTTTCTTTAATTACAACATTGGCCTGTGAACAGCTCATATAACAGCATGCCCTTATGTGCCAGATATGCAAAGTGAAGCAGGATCTGTGTTTCAGAATCAATTTTTGGCCGACCGAGCCATTGACCTTTTTTTTTTCTTTTTTTCTTTTTAGTATTCAAAATTTTTAGCTTTACACTTTTTTCAGCTGATTTTCTGGGGGGCACCAGGTTCCCTGGGAGGGGCTGTGCCCACCAGGCCCCCCTCGCTATGCCCATGCATCCACTACTGCAAGAAGCAAGTTTTAGGGATTCAAATTTTTTGAAAGATTATGACTGGACCATTGGTCTTTTGGTTTCTTTGCTTGTAGTTTATAATCCTAGAATATTTTAGCAAAGTAGACATTTATGTTTGAAATTTTTCATACTAGAGTGTGTCTGAAATTGTTTTTTCAATTAATATTTTACAGGCTTATGAAAATATAAAGTAAGAAACAATTTAAGTTTTTGGAAATCAAAATTTTAATTATTTTTATTTAAGAGAAATTGCTGCTGATTAAGATCATGGTATATTTTGACAGTGAGACAGTTTGAAACCAGGGGCAAGAATTATAAGTACTTTTACTGTACTTCAGTACAAATATAACACTCCTTATAATAAAAATTGATTCTGAAACACAGACCCTGCTTCACTTTGCATATCTAGCATATAACGGCATGCTGTTATATGAGCTGTTCACAGGCCAAATCGATTAACTGCATTTAATAAATCCTTAATGTTGTTATTATTTTTACATTTTTCGCATAACTAATTTTATATATCCATTACATTAAAACTATGCTTTAATATAATGGTGTATAAAAATACATTCTACAATGTTTATTTAAATTTAAAGTTTAAAAGGAATTTTTAAAATTATTTATATTATCAATGTTTATATTTTTTGTTTGTGGAATTAATCAATTTGGCAAATGAGTGGCTCATATGTAATAACATATTTCACTTATAAGATACTGCACTGTGTAAATGATCAGGTTGTGTGACTTCATTTATATGGTAAAGGAAGTTTCATTTATATGTACAGAAGTAGGATAGTTATCAATTTAAGGGATTTTACCCTAAATCTAGGTGTTTTTTTACTTATATATTTCTCTAAATCTAGATTTAGGATAATATCTATTTTATTTAGAATTTACCTTAAATCTAGATGTATATACTTATACACTATACATACGAAATATTGTATAAAATTAAATTTGTATCTCTGAAATAGTGGTTGAAAAATATCTTGTTTCTTTACTTTTAAAATCAGTTTTACTTGTTGGATATACCAACAATCAGGAAGCTATGGCAACTGAAGGATTTAACAAATTACTTATCTAATGTTGTTGTTAATTAGTGCAATGGAAATGCAGATGTTGATACTCATAGTGGTTCTGAAAAGTCATCAGATATTTCATTTTCTAATGCAATGAGATCTTGTAACACTCCATACCTTTTATTTTTTGCGATTCTGATGGATTTACGTAGACAGTCTTTTCTAATTTTTTCTTTTAACGAAGTACATTCCTTTAGAATACATATTCTATAAATGGACATCGGGAAAACTTTGTTAAGCAGACATTGCTTAGGAAATTTCAGCTTCCTATCCACCTTTATTAACTTCAATGCCAATTTCCTATACTCCTTATATTTCCTGGCCAGTGTTACCATATTGCTAATAAATTGAATATCAAGCTTGTAAAAGACATTGTACACAGTTTTGTCAAGTATGGCACAAGCGGAGGCTTCAGTAGTTAAATGGAATGAAGCATCTATTCTCAAGACTGTGCAGTCCCCATCGTTGGCTTTGCAACATGAAAAAATTGAAATTTATAAGAGTAAATTAAGGGACGGCTGTATCAATGCAAGGGATGCTGATGGTTTAGCTTCAGCATGGAAGTTCTTTGTAAAAGAAAAGTTAAAACACACAAATTCTTAGTTCCTATCTGCCCTTTATAATGTGATGCTTTTTGATGTATATTTTTATGAATTTAATCTTTTAGGTTTATTTTTGTTTTTTCTTTTATATCACCTTATTTTATTATTTATATTAATATGGCTTCAATCTATTTATTATAGTTATTTTGTATATTGATTGGTTAATTTATTCTACATTTTAATTCTGAATTTGTAATGTTTGAAAGTTCCGTTTTAACACAATTTTTAAATTTGTTCGATAGCCTGTCACCTGATGATGGCCTATTCCATTAGGCTGAAAACATTTGTGATTTAATAAATATTCTCAGCATTATAAGGTGTTAAATGTTTTATTAAATATAACTATTTAATTAAAAAGTTTTTGATTCATATCTACTAGATGTAAAACTGGATTACATAATATGCTAATACATATATACACTATATATACATGATGTTTAACAAAATATTATTTAAATATTTTAGATGAGTTCAAGTCTTAAAGAAAAATTAAGACGTTTGCATAGGATGAATTCTTTATCACTTTCTCCTACTGTTCATAAAGTGCCCATAACTGAGAGTAAAAGAAATAATCCAGAGAAAACTGAAGTGATCATATCTGATAATGAAGATAATGCTGTAGCATCTGCAAATATTAAACTACCAGTGACTGAAACAATGTCAAATAAAGAAGAAACTCTTAAGTGTAACATTCCAATACCAAGCAGGAATGAAAACTTTAAAAATTCTGAAAGTGATTTGATATTGGAACTCAAACTTTTAAAAAATAGAGTTTCAAAAAAGGAAGAAATATTACGAAAATTAAATATGGTAAAAACATATCATNTTAGAATAGAAAGTATTAAATTTTTAAGTATCATATATATTTTTCTCTAATGAATCCTATGCTTCTTCATTTTAGTCTTTTATTATTTAATAATGCTATTGGATATATTATTTTAATTTTTTTTAATTAAAATTTTTGAATCACTACATAAATGATAATGTTTGATTTACAAGAGAAAGGGCTCTGTAATTCATTTTACTCATTCTGAACTTTAGCTTACTAATACGTGAATTTCTCTGTGATGTTATTTAATGCTTTCATAGAAGTACCAAAATTAATTGTTTATTATTTAATGATAAAGTGGGGACAGTGTTAATACTTTTTTTTGTTATTTTAACTACTTTCTAATAAACAATTTTAAAAGACTTCAGACACAAATTCATTAAAATTAAATTTTAAAGGAAACAATTTATTTCCAAACAGAAGAAGTATATATATATATATATATATATACAGTGGTGCCTCGTATAACGTACACCTCGAATAACGGACGCTGCGAATAACGGACTTTCTGTTTGACCGTTACGTGACTCGAGCAACGTACTTGCTGCGAACAACGGACTTTCCGTTCAGCAGTTACGTGAGACGAACAATGGACTTTCTTCGAACAAGTGCGAATGATGTTTCCACTCTTTTGCCATTGCCAATGACAATCTGCTATTTTTAGGATATATTAGTATTATTAGAATGTATTATTAGTATATCTGAAGTAGAAATGTAATGTAATATATGTTGATGATTTAAATAAACATTAAATGTAATGTAATACAGTATATGTTGACGATTCAAATAAACGAAATGTAATTGTGTAGATGCCGAGGTGGCGGGACGAAAAGAGGTTGTAAAAAACAAACGGAGCGAGAGTAGCTCGTAGAAGTGTTTAGTGATCTTAATTAATAAAGAATTATTCGTA